CTTATGAAGAAGTAAAAAATTGGATCGATTCGTGGATCGCCTCAACATATGACCAGTTTTTTCGACGCGGGATTCGTACACTGCCCGAAAGATGGGAGAAAGTAGTGGCCAGCGATGGACGATACTTTGAACCATAAATGTATAGCCAGTTTTTTACAATAAAGCCTCGAATTTCGGAAAAAAAAACGGCGGAAGCAAAGTTGTACACCTAATAGTTTGTGTTTGCTCTGAGGAAGGCTAAAAAATGAGGCGAAACATGTAAGCGCGTTTGTTAAATAAAAAAGTTTCAAGCTTCATATATAAGTGTATTACTTGCGCGACGTCTTCTGCGCCTGACTGTTAACGCCCGTATTCTTTCCAATTCTTTGATTTATAAGGAGTCTTGGTTAGTTTGATTTGTTATACAAAAATATTTGATACACAAAAATATTTATCAAATATTTAAAATAAGTCTTATAAATATGTTCAAATGTTTTATAAATATTTTATAAATATTGTGTGCTGTCTGAATTTGGAAATAAATTGAATATAGACATAAAATGCATCAAAAAGTTAGTACAACGAAAGTTTAAGATGTCTAATTGTTGAAAGCATATACATATTTTTAAAAAGTAAGTATTCCTGGAGAATCTATTAAAATTCTTTCAAAATTATAAATTCTTGTAAAAATTGTGACGAACATATCATGAATTAATGACGTTCAACGTACCACTATCACGTAGCATTAATTCTGCGAAATCATCGAAACTTCCATTCATACCGTGGAATACTTTGCAGTAATAATAATAACTGACGCAAACGTCTTTTGGATTTCTCGTGATATAAATTATCTGCAAAAACAGAAATACAAAGGCGAAAATAATCGCGACTTTTCACATGTGCGTTGCATCATTACCTTTGGCTTCTTCTCATGGAGCTGGCACGGTAATAAGTCCCAAGGTAGATGAGTTTTGATGTATCGCGGCCTTGGCATCTTTGTTATATTTTCGACAGAGTCACCCAGATCTTTAAACCATTCATCATACTTCCCGTTGACCATGATAACCGAACCCCTGACGAAGGAATACATTTGGAGAATGATAAAGGGTGCGTTCCCAATTACGCATAAAGTGCATGCTGTATCGTTTTATCCTTCTTTATTATTTGGTGAACAATAAGGACAAATGATGCATCATGCGCTTCATGCGTAACTCGGAATGCACCCAAAGATAATACTCAGCAATTGCTAACGCTATTTATCGTCACTTTGACATTAAAATGACACTTAATTTAATTGTGACAACATTTTAACATCAAAATGATGACTAATATCTGCTTGCTCTACCTGGGTAGTGTAATTTCTCTTGCAATTTTACAAAATAATGATTCGACTCGTGAATCTACTTACTCAAGCATAGGACTCCGCTTTAGTATGATCGTACGGGCTTCTTCATAATCAAAATCGTGTCCGATGCACCATGTCATTTCCTGTGCCCAGTGACTTCCTGAAAATCAATCGTATTAAGAAATAACATTTGAGAAAAGAGAACCAATCGTCAGGCAACGTTTTAAAAAATATTTTTAATATTCATTTTATATTTTTAATATAAAAATTAATGTGTTAAAAGTATATTTTAAAAGCATTTCCTGATTAGGGATTAGTGGTAACAGGGGTGATCCCGATTGACCACGTCTCGATTGGACACCACCAATCACAGCTTAGGAGCTTTGTAGTCTCAAGCGCTGTAAGCTCGTGTCCAACTGGGTGCCACCTGTGGTAACATCTGCTTGATCAAACTTCGATTTACTCATTTGGCGACTATATTCTATAACCCTCGTTTCTACCAATAGAGTAATTCCGGTATCTACGCCGCACCTATCAAAAACTTAATTTATTAAGTATTATTTACTATGTTTACGGTAAACGAAATACATCAGTAAAAACTTTGTACTGTCTACTACTATGAAAAAAATATTAGAAATCCGAAATATTTATTTTTCATATTAAAAAATAAACTTTTTGAAATCTTGTATTTTTGCTGCATATCCTATATATAGGTATCCTATATAGAGGTAGGATATATGGCTACTCATAGGGGGAGGGGGGTATGTACGGCTCATGAAAAATTTAAAAATAATGCAAACATGCTTAATAATACAAACATGCTTTACTATTCCACTACACGTATGTATCACGAAATAACCACTAAGTCTTTTACACGCTCTACATCATTTAATGTAGATTATAATTTATGATGGCGTTACTTATTACAGTGACAAATCGATTCAACTCACAATAAATTCATTAATATTAACAGTAAGAAGCTGAAATCATAACGCAATGTAATATAACATGAAGACATGTAACAGAGTAGTTACGGGAAAATTACCCCTACTTCTTCTATTTTTTCTAACTTCTGCGGCGTAAATCCCAGCGCGGCATATTTGCCAGAGTTACCTTAGATTAACTTTAATTTTGGTTTAACTTGCACTTCATCTTTTTCTAATTTTTGAAACTAAAAAAAGATGAAAAGATAGTTGAACCAAGATTAAATTAAACTACATTGGTAGAAACAATTCAACTCGCTTACAGCAAAATTTCTGACCCATAATTCATCATCTCTAATGCAATTTTTCCATATGTTAAAGTACAGTAAAAAAAAATAGTAAATCTATCTGCATTAATAAAAAGAATAGTCAATTGAGTATAACATTTAATCAATCAGGGTTTGATCAAAAGTCACTCTAATTACGTGGAATTTTTTCCGTTTCAGATATAAAAACCCATTTGTTTCTTTTTTTTATTGTTACACAACCGTAAAATTTATTTTGAATTATTTACTGAATTGTGTTACTAAAATATTTACCACTTCGAGGAAACGAGATCATCCAGACGTCATCCTCGTATACCGGCATGTCACGTATTTTCTGCGCGTAAAAGATAATTTTTGGCGGTAACAAGCAATAACTGGGTTGCACCTTTACAAGACTCGGCTTCAACCCAAATATCTCGTCTAATTTATCCGCTGTCTCGTCATCCATAGTTGAAAACACGATCGATCTTTTATCCACTGCAAAAAAAACAATGCAATACAAATGAATGAATTAAAAATATTTGCTTTGACAATTTTATATTTGACTCTCACTTATTCCGTACTATTTATATCGTGCGGATATTAATATATGAGAATCTAACGTAGATTCAAGAATGGACTTCACACACTCGGATGCTGTTGCACATGCGACTTGCAGAGGAATGAGTGTACCACACGATCATAATGACCTACTATCGACTGGGATACTTTTTACCGGTTCTATTCCTTTTTCCTGTTTACGATGACTTTCATACTTTCATATTTGCCATGTAAATAAAATGGTCAGTTTTTATCGCGTACATTTAATAGTAAAGTATAGCTCACGATCGCAAATAATAGCAAATATATTAATATATTTAAACTCAATGAATAAAAACAAATTTTTTAATTGAAGGGCTATGAGTCGAAGAATTAAAAAATTATGAGCAATTAAACATCTAGCTTTTTTACTTATAGCCTTTAATTTTAAAATGTATTTGTATATTCTCTTTATTAATGCATCCTTTTTTTTACTTAAATCCTTTGTGTGATTTCATCGTATTTTAATTTGTCTTCTGAAGTAATTAAGAAAATATCATAAGCACGGAGTTAGATGCGTTAAGATATTTCTGTACTCTTTGGTTCATAAATAATCTAATTTTTACAAGGAATTTTAGATTTAGATAAAAGTGTAACTTGCAAAACCGAAAATAAAATTTATTTAGCATTCAGTTAATTGCGCTTATATTGCAATAATGTTGTCAATACCCGGGAAAAAATACAAAAAAAAACATACGAAAGTACCCCCTTCAATTTTTATGAGCTTTTAGTATATTTAAAATAGAGTACTCTTGAAATCATTTAACATTCATTATAATTTTCTTTTTCCATTTTTCATAGTTTCGATGATATTTTTTTCAAAGGAATGTTTCGCCCTAAAATGTATACATATGTAGATACGTGTAAAAAAATACGTTTTTTACTTTGATTTAGAATGGTAGTGTATTAGTAGCATTAGCGTTTACAGATCCGTGAACGACCTTAGCGTAGCGTTGCTAGTGTTTAACATTCGTCAAGGTTAGATTAATGTTTGAGGGGATTCTATTTTGGAGTGGCACCAAACTTTTCTCTCTTTAGAATTTCGTAGAGTAAACTTACGTATGTAACGTGTAAATTTCAAATTTTATCGTAGTGAATGCAATCCCAATTTCAATCTCTGCAATTGGTGGCTTGCCACTAAGCTGGAGTGAACGTAATTCTTACTTGTGTATCATCTTTAACATTTCAAAGTTTCTGCAGGGTTCAACTCGTGTATTTAATTTCATTACAAATGTGAAAGTCAGAGGTATCCTTGTCATGAGAAATGACAATGAAATCGATGTCGAATCGACATTGAATCGACATCGATTCAATGTCGATTCCATTATAATTTCTCACTGGGATCTTGTTACTGGCGATTTTCCCGTGTACGGAAAAAAGTCACTATTGCAGTATAGCGCGACAGGGTATTCCACTGCAGATGCATAAGATTCTTATATATTAGATATAAATATGCTTCTTCTCAAATTGACAACAGATGCTCAATTCTTCCTTTTATCTGATTAATTTACTCAGTGTAATTATTAATTTTTTGATCTAGTTTACATTGTTCACTCCGGCCTAGCGGCAAGCTATCATAGAGATTGCAATTGAGATTACGTTCTGTTATTCACTATGAGAAAATAAAAAATTTACGTTACATATACTTTACAAAACCCTAAAAATTTAAATTACAGAGAAAAGTTAGGTCGGTGATTGAAAACAGAATCCCCTACATTAACTTAACCTCGACGAATATTAAATCTCTCTGATTAAACGCTACCAACGCTACGCCAGAATCGTTCATGGAGTTTGCTAACGCTATTGACTCCACGAACAGCGTTGATATAGCGTTTGCGTCCATAGCGCGAATGGTGTCTCCCCGAACGTACATATGTTTGTGTGTGTTTAGAAAAAAAGAAAAGAATAAAATATACATTCTTAATTATAGATATATGAGAATAAATGTATCTATTCAATCTACCCAATCAACACACAATATTAAAAAAAAAATTTTTTTAACATTTATTTAATATTTTTATACTAAATAAATATTTTTAAAACTATTTTTAAACATTTTTTAAATATTGTGTGCTGATTGGGCAAACACGAATTATAGTTTATATTTAAAAAATTTAGGATAGAATTTTGTTTATAAGTTTATTATAAAAAAAGTATTAAAAAAATTAGAAATACAATTATATACTTATACGAAATGTATATCAAAAATACACATATATCTAAAAAGACACGGCGCATAAAATATTGCAAATAGAATTTTATTTTAATTTAGTGAGAATTTTAGACATTCAAAGTGGACTTAATTATTTTTTTAACCTTTCTTTTTTCTAGTACTGCAGAGATGATCTCTTATCAAACATAAAACCACCGATGAACAATTATGATAGGAAGTATAAAGCGCAAATAGTATTGTGCATGTTTAAATTATTTTGCGACGTTATTAACTTTCTCGTCAAGTAGATGAGATTTCACTTTCGGAGAAAGTCACCCGACTGCATTCTTATCAGGAGTCGATTGCACATTGAATGCATTCCTCGCCGTGTGGTCAAAAATGCTGATTTTCAATCGCAAAAATATAAAGCCCTAAACACAATGAGAAACAACAGCGACAGCGATAGAAATCCACAGGCGATAAGCACAGCGGTAGAAACAGATAAATCCAATCCAACAGGAATGCATAGTGGAAGAAACTCGGATTTCGTATTGGTTTCTTTCACCATTTAGGAATGCATATGCCAATCAATATCAATGTATATAGAAACACAGAATAGGCAATAGCGATAAAATTTTCGACAAATTAGAATTCTGTGTCTATTCCTATTGCTGGTAAAAAATTTTTCATGCATGAATATGTACAAATATGTATAAACATATATAAATATTCATAAACATACATAATTTTACAACAAAAAACTCCAAAACCAGGGCGAATGAGATACATAATTTTATATGAAATACGTCGATCCATACATGTTCATACATCCTTCGTTCTTTCGTAAAATTACTTTTTTGAAGAAAAAAATGTAAAAAAATTACTTATGTATAATATAATATATTATAGGACCGTATATGTGATAACACAAACTGTAGAAATCAAATAATGCTTGTATGATTCTTATGTGAATTTATATACTACGTATATATGTAGTCTCCAGAAACGCGCGCCGAAATGATTTTTCGGTCTTGAAACGCTAACTCTATTTAAACTACCGCAGTAATATCACGAGTTAAATTGACTGGCAATTTAACAAATTCACATAAGAATCATACAAGCATTAAGATCCAGCTAGACCGTTTAAGGCTTTGATTTCTATAGTTTGTGTTACTTATGTATAATTATATATAAAATTACGCATAATTGTGTATGAGCAATTTTTTTAACATTTTTCCAAATTTATTTTTTTCTAAAACAAACAATGCAAAATTACCTTTTAATTATTTTTTATGTTTTCACATATTACTATTGTTATTTTTATTACACTAAAAAGTAATTTTACACAAAAGAAAGAGTGATGTATGAAAATATTGTTATATTTCATATATATATAATTATACGTGTTCATGAATATTTTAAATATTTATGTAGTTTATACATATTTATACACATTAATGTATGAAAAATTTTTTTACCGCGGTTGTATTCTTATCGCTGCTATTTGCTTCGTATTGCATTTAGCCCTACTGAAAAAAATCACATCACGAAGTTACATAACGAAATCATGTAATTAAAACAAATAAATTACATAATGTATTGTTCCAAATCATTACCTTATTTTTTAAAATCATGTAATTTGAAAAATTATATAATATTAGAAATAATTTCATCTATTATATAATTTTATAGTTATCGAATTTTGAAGAATTAAATAATAGAAATAGAAAGAAAAAACATATTATTGTGTGACTTTTCAAAATACGTGGTTTAAAAAAAATCACATACTGATTTGGAACAATCCGTTACGTAATTTACATGATTTTATTATGTAATTTTGTGACGTGTTTTTTTTCAGTAGGGAGGGCTTAAAGCTCTATGGACACAATGAGCAACAGTGACAAGAACAGCTATAGGAATAGTATAGAAATAAGATATAATTGTCGCCTCCCGTTGCACAATACCGTAAAAGAAATAAAAGGCCAACCAAAAAGATGCAAGCATGGTCGACTCAAAAGGTCTGTTCTTTTTGGCTGAACTTTTGCACCAGTTCATCTTTCTTTCTCTTCTTTCCTTCTGGAGAGAAAAGGAAGAAATGAACTGGTGCAAAAGTTCAGCCAAAAAGAACAGACCTAAAGAGTCAAATGCACATTGCACGTGAAAACTGCGCGTTGCAGAAATCACGTGATCTCTCCCACCCCCGACAATCACGTGGTTTATTGATTGCTATCTGTGATTTATGAGCGTGCTGTGGATCGCTGATGCATTCGAATTGAATGCTCCTGTTTATGTACGAGTGACCGTGTATGACATGGGTAAGTCTCTCATTGCTCATCGCAAAATCCATTTCGTAGGTTGACGGTTGACGCGACTGTCGAATGCGATGATCGCGCGTCTTCGGTTCGTTGCACGGCCTTGGAGGTTATATCCCGTCTGCTACACGCACAGCTGTTCGTGCGTATGACGTTTCATTGACGTGTGCATATACGAGTGCTTACATGTGGGTGTGCACGCAATTTCGTATCCTTGAATTTTTGTAAAAGTCTTAACGGACGTACATTTCGAGAGAAAGAAGAATCGCGGAAACGTACGGCCGTTGCTTTTCACGCGCTCGAGAAGCAACCTTGAGAGAATGAGAGTTCGTAAGTGCGTATCTTTATTCGTTTACTCACGTATTTTCTTCGTGCTTTCGCTTACTCTCGAGACTCTTTCGGTCGTACCAGTTTTTTTAATTTTCTATCAAATTAGTAAAGAATATATTGTCACACTTCTTGGATTCTTGTCTTTTTGGTCTCTTAATGGACCTAATACAAGTTTTCCATTTAGTGACACAAGTCGACCAACGTCATTCTTTCCTGACATTTATACCTGGTTTATGCTTCGGTCTTAACCTTTGTCTTAGAATTAGTTTCAGCTTAATCTTAAGGACTAAAGTTAAAAGATAGGAACTTTCTTG